TCCCAGTAGAAGAAAGAAACCAAACAATAACTATGAGTAGATTTGTTCCACAAAGTATAAAATGTTTCGATTATCTGACGTTAATGGTGGCCTGTTTAGGATTACTGCTTTTCGATTGGTTTATGGGTCCAACAACCATATGAAATAAATTTTTGTTGTACCTGAAATAAATCACAAAATGTTGTGCATATGAGCCATCAACATCAACATCTACAATGATAATGCACATTCTCTTGTAGAATACTTCTGTTAACGTGGTTACTGCACCCCTTGTATTTCCCCATAAGTGAATTTGTAACCTTGATTGTCATGTAAACAAAAATTGTATTTGTCAAACTGTAGCTGTACAATATATGTTTAGGGCATCTGTTACTGTTTATTTTTGTTACTTTTACCATAGTTGCTTGTCCTTGTGATTATGTTATGAAAAGGTCTAAATTTTACCAGCCTCACTCACTCACTCACTCAGAACCCAGCCACCCACTCACTCACACCAACTCACTCACTCACTCCACTCACTCACTCACTGAAAGTCATACTCACTCACTGACTGAAATGTGCATGTAAAACTGATGTGCTATAAGCAAGCAAATATATTTGTCTCAGTATTATGGAACATATTTTTATAGCTTGATGCATGCAGTTTCAGGGATGTTACAACATTAATGTTAATAGTTGTTTTTGGTTGATTATGTATATTGAGCATGGAAACAAGCCCACCGTTAGTTTAATGAAACACTCAGCAATATTCTTGCTGTTACCGATCTGTAGATAATCGCATCCTGACCAGACAATCCCAGGGATTTACAGGATGCGAATTCCTGCGTCCTATATGCATAAAAATTGACAATGGACGCAACAAAATATATTGAGGGAAACAAATAAGGGATCACATGAAAAATCCTTTATGAAGCAAAAACATAGAAATTTCCTTCCTGTTTGTGTCTTTATTTATTTATCAGTCGGGGCGATGGGGTAGTCTAGTGGTTAAAGCGTTGGCTCGTCATGCCGAAGACCCGGGTTCGAATCCCTACATGGGTACAATGTGTGAAGCCCATTTCTGGTGTCCCCCGCCGTGATATTGCTGGAATATTGCTAAAAGCGGCCTAAAACCAAACTCAGTCAGTCAGTATTTATCAATCTCAATGCAGTGTTTAGCTGCTTGACCTAATCAAATCGAAGTGAATCAGCTTGTCGGTACAGATTAGCTGCACAATGTGTACCCTTTATAATTATCTTTACCCATAAACCTTTGATTTGTCAAAGGTGTTTGAGAATGAGATAGTGAAAACAATATACCAAACATTAACTTATCTGTGGATTTACTTTTCATAAATCCACTTTGCTATGTAGATTACGGTAATTGAATTCGGGACTGTTCATAATATAAGGCTAGGGGGTGCTCCATAAGCATAATAAACTACTGGAGTGGTGGGATAGTGTAGAGGTCAGTGCGTTTGCTTGTCACACCGAAGACTTGGGTTCGATTCCCCACATGGGTACAATGTGTGAAGCCCATTTCTGGTGTCCCCCATTTCTGGTGTTCTGGTATCTCCTAGGAGACATCGTTTTGACAGTAGATTTTGTACATTGCCCTGACAATGCTATGACGTCATGAACTTGATGACATCACAATGCTATGACATCGCTGCACTGCAAGTCTAATGGCAGTACTGTGTTCAGAGATGCCCATTTTTCATTGAAAACCAAAGAAGAGTGATTTTGGATGATAAATAGAATCTCACCCTGGTTTTCTGATATCAAATATATTAACACTCGTTCATAAAAGTAAAAATATCTTAATATTTTTTTGACTTTATCAATTCGTGATGAGATATATTTGATATCAAAAGACACTCAGGTGAGATTCTCCATGTCTACTAAATGCACTTGGAGACAAAGAAGATTTTACCGGATGTCCATGTCAAAGTTCCCTATCACCCTTTAGTTGGACTCTGGTTCCAGTTTTATGAACTTGGTAACATCGGCTTTCTGTCATTTATGGCGACCTTGCTTATAGTGATAGATATACTATTAATACAAAACTACTTATTACATATTGTATAAAGTGTGGGACGGGCACACTAACTCTCTTTCCTGTGCTCGCTGCTAATAATCAATACATTATTTTTCATCCGATATTTGAATATATGTAATTCAGATATGTATGTAATTCATCTTTGTATATTTATTCAGAATAATGTAGATTAGTGCTGTTTCTCTGTATGAATTATGAATGTGGCAGAAGTGCCAGACACAGCAACGATATTAATATTAATGTTGTTTTTTGCCTTTTGAAAAGTCGTCTCTGCCTCTGACTGTTCAATTTTGTTAAACATTTGGGATCAAACACATGGTCCTCGGCCTTTTGTCGTCTTGACGAGTTCTTTCAGTTTCAGCCAGGTAAGCAGAACTACCTGAGACAGGTGTGTGTGTGTGTGATTGCTGATAGGTATCTAGATATTGCTGGGATTTGTTGGGATTTGTGTAGTTTGAAAGCTGCTGAAAAGTTTCTATCCTTATTTTTCTGAGAAACTCTTTTTTTCTAAAGGTGAATTTGAAAAATTAATTCTGACAGTATCTGTAATCCTTGAAAGGCATTTAGCATTGAGTGACCTCATTGCTTTCACTTCTTAATGCCATTTTAAGACTTTATACAATATCAGCATGGTGATATTATAGTACTTATAACTCTCTGCTTCATGAGAGAGTCAGTGAGTGAGTTTAGTTTTACACCACACTCAGCAATATTCCATCTATATGGCGGCGGTCTGGAAATAATCGTGCTTCATGGGGCAGTGGGGTAGCCTAGTGGTTAATGTGTTTGCTCATCACATGGAAGACCCAGTTTCATTTCCCCACATGGGTACAATGTGTGAAGCCCATTTCTGGTGTCCCCCGCCATGATATAGCTGGAATATTGCTAAAAGTGGCGTAAAACTAAAATCACTCACTCACTCTGCTTCATAGCTTTCATTTGCCTTATGGAGTGAGAATATATTGTGCAACATTGTGTTCCTCATAATACAGAAGTTGATTTGAATATATATTCCCCTTGGGTATGTTTTATATGGCTACCTCCATGGTCTAGTGGGTAGAGGGTCTACCTACTGGCAAACCAGGATAAGTTGGACGGCGCAGAGAACGCGTTACGAGAAGTAGGCAGTGCACAGCAATGAGCAAACCCATTTGGTTTGTGAAAGGTGGAGCAGATGTAGGCTAGTGCATGTGCATTGCATGACGATGAAATTGATTCTGCGAGTACCTGCATGCGCCTTGCTCATAAGACTCTTACGTGGTCAGTGTAGCACGTCGGTAATATTCGGATATAGAGATATATATTTCGAGAGAATTAAACATATCTATAACTTCCCACTGTCGAACTCGGTGTTTGCTGAGACAGGCCACGTGCTTCACCCATTCACACTTGATCACTGACAACCTGGGGCCCCATCGCTAACAATGGCAGGCGCCAGTGGGCGGCACTCATACATGCTAATACGGGTCAATTGTCAGGTCGGTGCTCAACTTATCCTTGTTTGCCAGTAGAGGACAGAAGGTTGGCAGGGTTTTACCTCACTAACGAAACTGGGGCCAGGGTGTTACCCATTTTTAAATTCAAGTGAGTGAGTGAGTTTAGTTTTACGCCGCTTTTAGCAATATTCCAGCAACGTCATCCAGGGACACCAGAAATGGGCTTGACATATTGTACCCATGTGGGGAATCGTACCCAGGCCTTCAGCATGACAAGCTAATGCTTTAACCACTGGGCTACACGAACAAAATCAACCTTTTGAAAACTATTGTTGATGCAAACAAGTGTTCCCAAATTGTTTGTGTTCGATTATGAGAAAACATGATCGACTGCTTAGTCGTTTAGTTACTGCGACCAATCTTCGATTATTTCAATTAATCGGACCACCACTATAGTCCGTTTGGCTCAAAAGCGGACCGATGAATTGCAATCTATCTCGAAAACTTATAAACATAAAATACTCAATGAAACACTGATCATAATGAAAACATCAGACCAACTCTGAGAGGTGTTTGCAGAATTTTGTCCTAAAATTAAAAAAGTTTAACAAACTATCATTAAAATGTCGACACAGTTCACTATTTGTTACGAGGGAGGAGTGCAGAGAAAGGGACAGCCGGGTGTGCGAGAAAGGATGGAGACGGCACAGCACAGGTTAATGAATCAATAACTTTGTCGGCACTTGTGCACGTGCTTCTCTAACACCTGGCTGTCCCTTTCTCTGCACTCCTCCCTCGTAACAAATAGTGAACTGTGTCAATATTTTAATGATAGTTTGTTAAACAACTTTTTTAATTTTAGGACATAAATTCTGCAAACAAATCACAGAGTTGGTCTGATATTTTGATTATGATCAGCGTTTCATTGAGTATTACATGTTTATTTAGTTTTTGAGTTAGATTGCAATTCATCGGTCCGCTTTTGAGCCAAACGCACTATAGTTGTCATGCTAAAAATGAGAGAATATGAGTTTCTGAGAGAATACTGTATCAGAATACAAATCGTATTGACCAATTAATCAGTCTCCATCAGACACACATATTTCCCAAATATGAACAAAGCGTTTTTTGACTCGGACAACCATAATGTCATATGAACTGTGAAGAGTGAGTGAGTTTAGTTTTATGCCGCACTCAGCAATATTCCAGTTATATGTGGAAATAAATCATTTTACATAAGGCTCAGAAGTTATCAATCACCCCTCGTAGATTGACTTTTAGATTTTTTAAAATTTTTCACACCCTGCCTCAGAGCAGATTCTTGTGTTTACATAAATTTTGAAATCAAGCTGTCTAAACGAAATAAAACACAAGATATGACACACCTCCTGCCTCACATTTTTTAAAACGTCGGATAAATTTGTAATAATGAAATTATTTCGGCTCTGATGGTGGCAATAGACATTGAGTGTGGTGTTTGACAGGAGGTGTTGAAGACGTTGTCAAAAACGCGTTTCTGTTCCCAGGAGGTGGTGGAAGCATTGGCATGAACGGCGACGTTGCTCAGAGCTCCGGCGACGGGGGACAAGAAGGAGCGGATGACAACATGAAACCTCTCAACCTCGTGAGTACTACTTACTAATTCGTTTTTGTTACAATGCGTTGTCATTACTGCTGGTGCGATTGATCAAATAATCGGTCAATCGATTGATCTCACTTGCGTCTGCGATTATCGATGAGCTCGGGAGACAAATTGATATTCATAAAAATGAAGAATCAAAAGAAACTTTAGAAAGTAAGTTTCTTTTTGTTATGTTTGTTAAATCAAGCCAAAAAATGCAATGTAAACAACATACTCGCGTGCATGTCTCAAGAGGACGTATCCTTAAATACAAAGTATATTGTTCGCCTCATCAAAGTAACTAAATTATGTTGGATAAATGGATATTTATGGAAAATGTAAAATCAACATTTGGGCCATTAAATTTGCTTTTCTGAAGGTATTGAATCATTGCTTATTCTAGCAGTTATTGGTTTGTCTTAGCACACACTATTATTTCCAACCTCACTCACTCACTCACTCACTCACTCACTCACTGGGAGAAGTCATTTGGTTCAGACACAGTTCAGATTCACCGCAAACCACATTCATATTATACATGTTGTTATTATCATAACAATGAACATGCTAACAAGTGATAATGAATAAATATGAATACATCAAGACCAAGATTGACTAGTCAGTTCTCCATGGCTATTTGGTTAAGACTGCTATTCACACCTTGTACATGTGTCTTATTACACAAGGTATTCAAGCATTCAGGTCCCAGATATTCAAGCAGATCGGAGAATCTTTATGTCAGCAGGTTGACTCTGTAGTATTTCTTGCTGTGTTTCGGGGTGGCCTACTCTCAGCCTACTCCTGGCCTGACCTGTTTTTACACCTCAGCAATTTCCTATGCTCGAAAATCCAGTTTGAGTGATTCAATCAGGGGGAATTCACGTCGCGTACATAGCTTGGAATTGAATTTTTTTCAGGCAAGTTGATGGGACCGGTGTTTGACTTATGTCACTTGACCTCAGGTGATGTGATATGTGGTTTAACATCATGATCAAGTTTATTTATGTGAATGTGTTTGTGTGTGTAGCGGCTTTTGGTAGTCCTGTGTGCAAAATTTTCGCTGGTCCTGTGGTCCCTGGCTAGTGAAAATTTATCACTAAATGAAATGTTTGCAGTGGTCGTGATGGCCAGTGAATTTTGTATTGATAGTTAAGTAAATCTACAAATGTTATTTTGGACCAGTGAAGTACAGACAGGACCACTTATCATTGCCCACTCACTGGTCAAACACCGGTCCCAGACTAAGGCCATTTTTAAGTGTTAACTGACTCTGACATGTCCTTAAAGCAAGGTACCAGCAGACATTTATACAAGGGTCGAAATTAACGGATGCTAAATGCATTTAAAAATTCATAGTAGCATTCAATTTTTTAATTAGTGCTTTTTTAAGTGTCCCTTGTTTTCGTTGAATTAAATCAGAAAAAATATGAAAATGTTCGTATAAAAAGTTAGAAGTTACTTCCCTATATTTATTGACAACAATTAACGAAGGATTCGGAATATAAAATCCACGGAACGTATAGCCAATCAGATGCTTAGTATAACATCGGGATTTTCCTATTCAATGATGGTAGACCTTAGCAACTGCATTCTTTTGTCAAATTTGGAATTTATGATCAAACATTATTACAAATAATATGACAACAAACGACTTAAAACGGAAGTGTGAAGGGAAAGTGGTGAGGAATCGGGGATAAGTCCTGAAAAAAACAAAACTGACGGCGGTCATCTCGTAAAGCGATAGACAGATTAGGTGTTATGTGTTAATTGAATACCTTGAAAACATGGCAAAAGAAATGAATATTAGAATTGGGTACAAATTAAAAGACGATATTGCAGACAGTGAGGCTGTGTACAAAATATGATGCTCAGTGTGCAGGGAATATACGAATAGTATCATCAGTAAGAAGGTGTCATAATTTCTAAATTAAAACAGCTTGTGAAAAATAAAGGTTATTGATTTTGGAATTATTTTTATGTTTTTTGCTTATTGAAATTTTATTTAGCGTGTAGCTTAAAAAGTCACCAGCATTCTTTTGCTTGTGCTTAAAAAGTTCTAACCCTGTTCATGTAGTGAGTGAGTGAGTGATTGATTATAGCTTTATGCAGCTTTTAGCAATATTCCAGGAATATCACGGCGGGGTCACCAGAAATGGGCTTCACACATTGTACCCATGTGGGGAATCAAACCCGGGTCTTTTTAACGAGCGAACGCTTTAACCACTAGGCTACCCCACCGTGTCCCTGTTCATGTAACATGTTTAATGTACATAGAGGTTTGAACCACTGACTTACGCTGTTTGGGCAGGCACTCTGTCCACATCACTAAGGAGAGGTCTGAAGAGTTTGTAACTTGACCTGCTGGATAAATCACAGAATTTGGAACAGGTGGAGTTCAGTCTATGACTTTAGCTGCTAGTCCGAAGCCCATGTCAAGTAACATTCTAGAAAGCTCTGCCGAAATGTACCTAGCATGATGCTGGGAGGCAAGTTAGGGCCAGCAGCTGCACAAAATTTTGGCACAGACTGATAGTGTCACAACCATCATCTATAACTAGTCAGTAAGGATTCCAACTGCTCATTTTCAGCACAATGAATAATTTGGGGTAGCCGGATGAGTGTGAGCCATAGTGAGTGAGTGAGTGAGTTTAGTTTTACGCCGCACTCAGCAATATTCCAGCTATATGGCGGCGGTCTGTAAATAATCGAGTCTGGACCAGACAATCCAATGATCAACAGCATGAGCATCGATCTGCGCAATTGGGAACTGATGACATGTGTTAACCAAGTCAGTGATCCTGACCACCCAATCCCGTTAGTCACCTCTTATGATAAGCATGGGTTACTGAAGATCAATATTCTAACCCGGACCTTCATGGGTCTGTGAGCCATGAAATGCTGCCTCCACAATTGTTCTGAATATTACAGGGTGATTAGTAAACCAGGAATAAATGTCTATATTACACTGTTGTAGTGTAACATTGTGTTAGAGATGTTTGTGTTGTTCTCATAGGCTATGAGTCATTGCTATGTGATATGGAGTTTATACACTTCATTTAGTATCTGAGACTTGAGCGGCCTACTTAGTGGAGCATCTAGGGTCACCTGTGCCTTGTTTTAGATCATGATATGTACTCACTCCTTTTGGAGTCTCAATGAATAGGTGCTAATAACTTGCGTTATTTTTCCTTGAATGAATTTCCCGCAAAATATTTTCTAGAATGGTTTCGAAAGGCAGTTGTCATGTTAGTAGTACCTGACAGTATAATATTTCACACTATTTCTTTAAACATTTTGTCAAGTAAATAGTACCAGTCACGTAACCGTTTACAGTTCATATATGTGATATGCTGTCAGGTTAACAGTGTCAAGTCAGATAACATGTAACTCTTGATAAATGAGATATGTTGTCAGGTGAATAGTTCCATATCAGATACCACTTCACACATAAAAATGAGACATGTTATCGGGTGAATAGTACCAAGTGAGGTAACATTTTTAACTTGATAGAGGAGACATGTTATCAGGTGAATAGTACCAAGTGAGGTAACATTTTAAACTTGATAGAGACACGTTATCAGGTGAATAGTACCAAGTGAGGTAACATTATAAACTTGATAGAGGAGACATGTTATCAGGTGAATAGTACCAAGTGAGGTAACATTTTAAACTTGATAGAGGAGACATGTTATCAGGTGAATAGTACCAAGTGAGGTAACATTTTAAACTTGATAGAGGAGACATGTTATCAGGTGAATAGTACCAAGTGAGGTAACATTTTAAACTTGATAGAGGAGACATGTTATCGGGTGAATAGTACCAAGTGAGGTAACATTTTAAACTTGATAGAGGAGACATGTTATCGGGTGAATAGTACCAAGTGAGGTAACATTTTAAACTTGATAGAGAAACATGTTATCAGGTGAATAGTACCAAGTGAGGTAACATTTTAAACTTGATAGAGGAGACATGTTATCAGGTGAATAATACCAAGTGAGGTAACATTTTAAACTTGATAGAGGAGACATGTTATCGGGTGAATAGTACCAAGTGAGGTAACATTTTAAACTTGATAGAGGAGACATGTTATCGGGTGAATAGTACCAAGTGAGGTAACATTTTAAACTTGATAGAGGAGACATGTTATCAGGTGAATAGTACCAAGTGAGGTAACATTTTAAACTTGATAGAGAAACATGTTATCGGGTGAATAGTACCAAGTGAGGTAACATTTTAAACTTGATAGAGGAGACATGTTATCGGGTGAATAATACCAAGTGAGGTAACATTTTAAACTTGATAGAGGAGACATGTTATCGGGTGAATAGTACCAAGTGAGGTAACATTTTAAACTTGATAGAGGAGACATGTTATCAGGTGAATAGTACCAAGTGAGGTAACATTTTAAACTTGATAGAGGAGACATGTTATCAGGTGAATAGTACCAAGTGAGGTAACATTTTAAACTTGATAGAGGAGACATGTTATCGGTTGAATAGTACCAAGTGAGGTAACATTTTAAACTTGATAGAGGAGACATGTTATCAAGTGAATAATACCAAGTGAGGTAACATTTTAAACTTGATAGAGGAGACATGTTATCGGGTGAATAGTACCAAGTGAGGTAACATTTTAAACTTGATAGAGAAACATGTTATCGGGTGAATAGTACCAAGTGAGGTAACATTTTAAACTTGATAGAGGAGACATGTTATCAGGTGAATAGTACCAAGTAAGGTAACATTTTAAACTTGATAAAGGAGACATGTTATCGGGTGAATAGTACCAAGTGAGGTAACATTTTAAACTTGATAGAGGAGACATGTTATTGGGTGAATAGTACCAAGTGAGGTAATTTTAAACTTGATAGAGGAGACATGTTATCAGGTGAATAGTACCAAGTGAGGTAACATTTTAAACTTGATAGAGGAGACATGTTATCGGGTGAATAGTACCAAGTGAGGTAACATTTTAAACTTGATAGAGGAGACATGTTATCAGGT